GAGGTTGGTATTGGTGCGATAGGTAATCCCCTCCAAGGCTGGCATTGGTGCGATAGGTAATCCCCTCCAAGGCTGGCATCGTGCGATGTGGTGATCCCCTCCGAGGCTGGCATTGGACTTTGGGACCAACCCTAGAGACCGTATTCTGTGGCAGGCTCCTGCACTCTCCCACTGTAGAGACTACATGTGTCTCTGCTGCTGACTTCTGTTTCTTGGAGTGTCTGTTTCTTCCTTGTTCCATTCCAGTGTAAATGAACAGGTCCTGGTCTAAGACAGGGCGGGGGCTAGAGAGGTGGACCAGAGGGTTTGAGCACTTCTCTGTGTTCTTTCTGCAGAGGACCCAGGAGGCTCAGTTCCCAATACCCACACAGTGACTCACAACCTTCAGTGTGTAACTAGTTCAGGGGATGTGACACTGTCTCCTGACTTCCATGGGCACCAGGCATACACAGGCAAAATAGCATACATAATTTATGCAAATCTTATGAAAGAAAAGACCCCCCCCCCACCGCTGATAAGACCCTATATGCAAGAACAAGGCAAGTCTCATTTCTCTGTTTTAGAGGACAGTGAGGGTTTATCCCCTCTTACACCTGCCCACGACTGCTGGAAAATAGAGACCACCATGCGGTTTGTCCCCTTCAAGCCTCCTGGCTCAGTCTTCCATGATGAGAACACTGTGTGCCCCCTGCTGTCATTCCTCTGTTGAGCATATATGTATTGAGAACATGCTTTCTACGAGACACCCTTGGGAGAAGGAGCTTCAAACCAAATGAAATTTTGCCCTTCTATGCTAAAATTGTAGGTAGCCAGCTAGTAGTTGCTGTAAAGGTCAGGAAGCAACCTTTGGACGGAAGGAGGAGGCGATGGAGGTGAGGAGGGATTCGTTGGCTGTCCTCATTGCCACTTGGTTCTTGTACTAGTAGAGTTCCTTAGGGCTTTGCTTTTTAGAGCGGTTCTAGATTCACAGCCAGGTTGGAAGGAAGGTGCAGAGATTTTTCTTGTCATCTCCTCACATGTACCTATGAATAGAGAGAATCTCTAGTGCTGAAGAGACTCTGGGTTCAGCCTTCTCAGGCTTTCCATGCATCTTCCGTCTCTTTCTGGCCCTCCCCTCTGAGGATGTAGACTATTCCTTGGGGTCTATGAGATTAGAGAATTTCCTTTTTAATTCTTCCTTACCTACTATGTTGAGTTTGTCATCGCCCCCCTTCCCCTGAAGAATGTGTCATTTAGAATGATATACTGTACAGGCCACTAGGTTTTTGGGAGGCAGACTTGAATTCTGGTTCTTGTGCAACGACTGGTGAATCTGTAATCGTCTCTGGGATTTTTTTTCCCCCTCTCTTTAAGGTTAGATATTTGCTGATTCTGTCTATCTGTTTCATATCAGGAGAGATTAAACCTGGACTATTAGTAGGAGCGGTCATTAAGCTTGTGTAGACATGAATTAGCTAGTGCTGTTAAGAAACCCATCATGTGGGTGAAATCCAGAGATGGAGAGGGAGACCGTGACTCTGCCATTGTTCCCTTTCCTTCTTGCCCTTGGTGGTTTGTTTCTTAGACTGGATGCCTAGGAGAAAGGAGTCAGAGATGATTAATACTAAGCAGATGTGGCCGTGAGGACATCATAAAGATACAAAGTCTACAGTTGAGGGGTGCGCTCCCACAGAGCTTATCACATAGCCAGTCACTATGTCAGCTGTCCTCCGGGGGCAAAGTCCTGGCTTAAACTAGGAAATGTTTGCAGTTCCCCTTGGGGTCAGAGAGCTCCAGGTGATGAGTTGGTGATAGGATAGTAAGCTTGCAGTATTTCATTTCAACTCAGTATTTCCCGGGTGTCCTGGCCTTGGCATCTCCAAGTTTAGTGTTTTGCGTCATCCCCAGATGTGGCGCACCACACCCGCCTTTGTGCCACCATACAGTTGGTGAAACGGGCAAGGGGCTGGTGATTGTAACATACAAAGACACACAGAAAGAGGCACGGTTCATCCTTGAAACAGGAATGCCCCCTTTATTGTGTCCAGGGGCAACTTATACAGGGATCCTTAACTGATAGCCACGCCCCAACCAAACCAACCAGAAACCACTCCCCTGCCATCAGGAACTCCTGAGGGTCTCCTGCTCAGAGCAGCTGCAAGCATTACAAGTTGCTTACCAGGAATTCAGGACCTGGGGGGTTCACAGGTCCCAACACCCAGAGGGGATCTGGAAAGGATTAGGAGCATGTAGTCTCCTAGGTATAGTCTCCTAGGTCTGCTGGTGGTGCTCCACTCTCTGGGACACCTGTGGTCAGCCAGCAGCTAGTGGAAGGTAAACCTCTTACCCACCAGTCGCTTTGGCTTGTGTCTGAGAGTCCTGTGATTGGGGGGTATCATACGGTCATTGTAACTCCAGTAACAGTAAGATCTAGAGATTATAAAACAGGACTGTATTCGTCCTCATGCTTTTGTAGAAGCATAGTGTTTGTGTAGCAGGAATTCTGTTGTCTTATAAAACCATGCTGAGTTACTTCTGCCTTTTTTTCTAGGCGCTGCAAAGTTGGTGGTGGCTGTTGCAGTATTTCTATTGACATTTTATGTTATTTCTCAAGTATTTGAAATTAAAATGGATGCAAGTTTAGGAAATCTATTTGGTAAGTTTCACCCCCACCCTTTTATGTCCCTCCCACTTCTGCTCCCATTGGCTCCACACGTCCCTTCTAGTTTCACGTCTTTGTGTTTTTCAACTCCTTCAGTTCAGGCTTACTCACATGGGTGTGAGTTTAGGGTTGTTTACTGGAGCATGGGCACCTACACCCCTGAAGAAAATGGCTCCCCCTTCTACTGTAGCAGTTAATTTCCAGTGGCTGCTCAGGGAGGAGTATTATCTTGCAGACTCCTCCCCATCCACGATGGGATGTTGACAGGCACCGTCTTGTGCTCGTAATCACAGCTGATGGGATTTCTTGAGAGCCGCAGCCATGTTATGTCTGGGAAACAGCACTTTCAGCCCCAGCCCCTTAAATTCTTTCTGTTCCCTCTTCCATGGTGTTCTCCTAGCTTTAAAGAGGGTGGGTACATGTGTCCTGTATAGGGCTGAGTATTCAGGAGGCACACATGTGCCCCCACTGTCCAGCTAGAACTTCATTCTTTTAAAAAGTTTTTATTTTATTTTATTATTTTATGTATATGGGTATTTTGCCTGCATGTATGTCTATGGACCTTGTACATGCTTGGTGCCCTCAGAGGACAGAAGAGGGCATCGGATTCCTTGGAACTTGAGTTGCAGGCAGTTGTGAGCTTGTGTGTGTGCTGTGAATAGAACCTGGGTAGTCACAAAGGGCAGCCAGTGCTCTTCCCCTGGGAGCCATCTCCCCAGGCCCAGATTCTTAAATTGTGTAAGTTCTTAGCATGAATTCACTGCTGCTTTGTCTGTGTAGAAAAAGAATTATTATGTGAGTAAATGTCACTCATTACAATATTCTAAAAAACATAGCATGTGTAAGGATAAAGCTTGTATGAAACAATCAGTTTTCCGTCTGACACTTTAAACATCTTTAGTGACTCTTTGGTACATGGCAATGAGAAGCATTAATCACGACTCTTAAGAGCTCCCTCTGGAAAACACCATACTAGTGTGTTTAAATTGTTTCTTTCTTTGAGTTAGCTGCTAGAAATGGACCCTTATCTAGCTTATAAGAGTCAGAGAAATATGTTATACATGTTGGCTTTTAACGTTCTTTTTCTTTTCTCTGTGATTTTCATTTTTGCCCATTATTTGGTGTTTTTATGTTGTAAATGTACCCGTATAAGGTACGTTAACTCAAATTACGTTTTTCAATGCTGGGGATTTCCTTTCACGGCCCTGCACATGCTAGACAAGTGTTCTACCATTGTGCTACATTCTTAGTAGTTTTAAACAAAACCCTTCAGTTAATAAAGTGGAACCGGTTATATTTAATGCTCATTCTAGATACTTCTCTGTCTTACTGATTTTCAGATGTTTCTGTTCTGGAAGTGTACCAGGGTTTTCCTGTGACACAGTAGGCTGTTTCAGAATTCACTGTGCAGCCGTGTCTGCCAACTTGTGATCCTCCTGCCTCACCCTAGTCCGCAAGTGCAAGGATTACAAGTGTGCACCACCACAATGCCCACCCTCCAGTTTCTTTCCCTTTGAGGCACTGGTAGTCAAAGCCCGGTGCTTTGTGAAGTGCCAGACAAGTACTATAGCACTGAACTACATCTGTGACCTTAAGTATGTTATTAGGAGGGTGAAAAATAGAACCTAAGGTTCATATATTGAAATGGAACTGACTATATTTATCTCACACTATATAAAATCGATACCGGATCTCTCCTGGAGACCCTCAGCCATCGCGGGAAGCTCTATAAAATGTTATTTGCTGGATTCCAGTCTAGATTGAACTGGTGAAAATATTAACGCGGGCTTGTTTTATTTTTTTTTGTTGGAATATGTTAGTTCTCTTAACCATTTATTTAACATCCAATTTAAATTGGCAAAGGTCATCAGGTTGAATCCATAGAGTATAGCTTCAGGGACCTGGTCTCTAGTTACCTGTGTGGTTAGCTGCAGTTCATTCGGAAGTCAGTTTTTCAACTTCATTTTGGGAGAACTTGGTAGCTTGAACAGATCCTTTTCTCCCCCTATGTGTTGAAAATATTCTTTCCTCACACAATATATCTTGACGACACTTTCCCCTCCCTCTGCTCCTCCCAGTTTCTCTGTCTCCCCTCCCACCCAGATCCACGCTTTTCTGTCTCTCCTTAGAAAAGAACTAATATCTAAGAGATAATAGCCAAACATGATAAAATAAAAGATAATAAGATAAAACAAAACCCATCTCCTCGAAGTTTGACAACGCAAACCAAGAGAAGGGAAACAGTCCAAAGAAGGCACAAGAATCAGAGACCCACTCCTTGGACAGGTCATTTTGACTCAGGCTTTTTTGTTTGCTTGTTTTTTGAAATAAGCGGTTATCTGTGTAACCGTGGCTATCCTGAACTCACTCTGTAGACCAGGGTGGCCTCGAACTCAGATATCTGCCTGCCCCTGCCTCCTGAATGTTGGGATAACTGGCTCGTTGACTCAGGCTTTTTATAGTGTATTGTTTTAGAAAAACAAAACAGACATTTCTACACAGGAAGAATGAAAAATTTGCCCACAGTTAATAATTTAAAATACCAAGATAGGTTGTGATTTAAAAGAATACTATAAAATTTAAAAGACAAAAGGCAAAGAAGAACAACTAAAACAGTCTAAACCCTAAGCAGTATTTTAGCATGGGGACGTAGCCCACTGGTAGAATGCTAGGTGCTTCCCTAGCACACCCAGATTTCAGTCCCCAGCCCAGCACACCCCACTCCCAAACACACAGAGGCACTCTTATTTTTTAAAAAGACTTAATCTCGAAGGAATTCTAGAGTGACACTCTGTAAGACATACCATCCAGAGACCCTAGATACCTGTCTGGCTTCCACCCGTGAGTAACATCTGGGGAACTGTGAATTGTCATGGGCAGGGCAGGATGGAGACTTGCACACACTCTGCCAGTCTTGCTCCTGGCTGCGCTCTAATGCGGTGTTAGTTTTCAGCAGGGACACTCAGCCAGTGCAGGGCTGAACGCAGTTCAGATTATCTCTGCAGATACTGCTGCAGTGACTGCTGCGGGCTTGTTGATTCTTACACTTGGCTATTTAAGCCCTTGGTTAGTAGTATATGCATAGATTACTTGAGATTACTCCCCAGCCCTGATTTTACCGTTTTGTAGAGTCCCTCAGCCTTTGCCTCTCTGTTCATCACTCAAGGCTCTAAGTTTCTTGTCTTGGTCAGTACTTGAATGTTGATGTCCTCAGATTCTTTCTTTCCTGGATGTTCTTATCCGTTCACTCATACTCCAGTTTCTGTCTTACTCCCAGGTCTTATTTCTAGCTGACCTCCATATTGTTCCTCTTATGTCTTCACCAAGTATCTTAAGACATGGTGGGTAGAAGCCATCCCTGGTGTCCACACACACACACACACACACACACACACACACACACACACACCTCCTTACATAGTTCCAAAGGTCTTGGGTGCAGAGAAAGTGTTTTGATCATTTCTTCCTATGAGTGAATGCAGGTACTTGCAGAGCTAAGCCAGCATCCTGATTCTTGCCTTTGCATCCAGCCTACGCCTTGTCTGTGTTGTTTCCTTAGAAGCTCTGTATTTGTCTGTTTTAGAAAGTCCAGTGAACACCTCTCACATTTTCCTCCCACAAGACTGGCTTTATTGTTTGTTTGTTTGTTTGTAATCCTCCATGACGTCAGCAGGGTCTTTCTAGATAGACTCAGACTTGAGCCTCTGGTCAGATTCTTAAAGGTCCCTAACCTGGCTTTCTGTTCTGCTCTGGGAGTGATTGGTGCTTTTTGCTTGTATAGTCATCTTTGGAAGTGGTACAGTGGCCCGGATGCTACATGAGATGGTTTTAAAAAGCCAACTGTGGACTGGTCAATGGCTCCACAAGTAAACACGCTCACCGTCAAGCCTGACTACGTTAGTTCAGTCCCTGGGATCCACATGGTGGAAGGAAGAACTGGCTCCTGCAGGTTGTCCTCTGAGGTCTGCACATGTGTCTCATGGCATGTATGCACACATACACACACATGCATACACATAGTAAGTGGCTTGAAAAATGAAAAATAAACTAAAAGCTACCTCCACCAATTATACTTACGACCTAACACATACCAGTTAAGTGCTCTGTCCTCAGTGTCCTTATCTCTGTGACACATGATGACCGTGGCAGAGACCACCCAGGCGTGCTTGGCACAGCTGGCACGTAGGAATGGGTGGTGCTGTGCCAGCCCTGTCCAGATCCCGCTGTCTCCCGCTGTCATTACCACAGATCAGGTAAGTTGTCACTTAATCAGCCTGACCTTAACCGGTCAGGGAGACTAAATTCCTGATTTTCACAGTGTTCCTTTCTCATGATATAGACAGATGATACACTCTTTCTTTAATTATTGATTAATTAATTTAGTTTTTTTTCCCTTTGATTCTTTATGTTCTTGTGTTTGAATCAGGGTTTCTCTGTGCAGCCCTGACTGACTGTCCTGGAACTCACTCTGTAGACCAGCTGGCCTCGAACTCGCAGAGATCCACCTGCCGCTGCCTCCCACGTGCTGGGAATAAAGGCGTGCGCCACCACTGCCCACCGTTTGCTTTTTAAAAGACAGACTGAAGTTGAGAATTTCTAGTCTTCATGTCGCTGATGCTGCCCTGGGGTTTAGTTTCCCCATTTAAAAAAGTGAAAGTATTGGATCAAATCTCTGTAATTATATAAGGAAATGGAACAAATGAGCCACGGAAAACGCAGCGCCTGAATCTATGCTCCCTCCTCCCCTCCTCTTTTCTCTTTTGTTATTTGCTTGCTCAAATCTCTCTTTGCATGGGAACCACCTGTGTCCTTAGGGTCTAGAGTTGGGGAAGGCTCCCTCGGCTACGTTTCATGTATTCCTCCTTCCCTATGTTATAGTTGTGTGATTAATGGTGCAGGATGTTCTCTTAAGTGTCCTACTGAGTGCTGAAGCTGCTGGCTTGGTCCCTTCCCTTTAACCATCTCGATCTTCTCTTTCAGCGTCGACTTCCTGTTCCATAATTTGAATAGTGGGGTTACAGGAAATTCATAGTTATCAGAAATAGTACAGAAGTACAGACTAAGCGACTATTTATAGTTAGACAGCTGGCCAGCACCCATCACACTGTGTGCTTATTAGTCAAAGTAGAGGCCAGCTTTCAGTGCGCTTGGATGGTCTGGGTTAAAATCCCTTGGACCGGAATCAGACACTGGTGCGGTTACAGAGCACAGAGTGTGGTTGGGAAGGAGGATGGTTGAGACCCAGTGTGGGTGTTAGGAGCTGACCTTTTCCCTTCCTTGAACTAATGAAATAAGAAACTCTCAGGAACAGCACTGATTTTTTTTTTTTCCATTAGGCCTTCTTAATATATACTCCACACTTCTGTTGTGGAGAAACCCAGATTTCCCCAACATTCACCCTTCCCCTCTTCTTGGTCTCCCAAATCTTCACCAAACCCCAAGATAGATTTGTGCACATTCTCTAGGACTGTGTGGGTACCCAGCCTAGCCCTGCCCAGCAGCATTTGATTACGGTATTGTTCACCAACACAGTTAGTCATCTTTTTTCTTTTTTTTATTAAGATCTTTTTAAATATAATCTTTTATCGTTTTACATAGCTGTCCCTCTCTGTTCCCACTCTCCTCCTCCTGCCCCATCCTAGCCCCCATCCACTTAGTCTGTTAAAGGTATGTTCTCAGACTAACTTTCTGAGTAGGGTTTAAGTTTGTATATAAAGTATAACATGAACCAGGTGACACACACCTTTAATACGAGCACTCACTCAGAAGGCAGAGGCAGGTGGATCTTTGTCAGTTCAAGGCCAGCCTGGTCTACATCACGAGTTCCAGGACAGCCAGGACGACACAGAGAAACCTGTCTCACCCCCTCCAAAAGAGCCCCCAAAGTTTAAAATGATCTTTCCATAATAAAGCATTACTCTTCATGGTTTCAGCACACACTTGCCCATAATGAATTAACAGAAAGTACTGCTTCTCTGAAGTGGTATTGGTATTGGTATTGGCAGTCTTCCGAACGTGTATTTCCTTGACTTATTAGAAGCTTTACTATGTTTGAAGTAGAGAGTTTCCAATGGGCCTGTGTTTTCTAATGATGTTAATTGTTTCTCTTCTTAGCTCGATCTGTGCTGGACCCAGCCACCCGCCGTAAGTCCCTCAGCTTGGTGGATTATGGGTGCTCCATGTAGTACCGCAGTGTGTGGCCCTTTAAGGGCTTGTGTGCAGGCAACGTGGGCAGTTTGTGTGAACAAACCCTGGAGAGAAGTTGAGTTTTAAAATTATCAACTGCCATTTGTTGGACGGCCTCGTATCATAGGTTCTTCACTGCCAATGGGTGTTTACTCTGTGTTTGGGTTGCACCCTTGAGGTGTGAGCACACCCCGTGAGACTGAATAGGAGACCCAGCTGCAGCTTGTACCTGGGTGGATGGGAGGGCCGAGCTTTGACCAATCCTGATTTTGATGTACTTGGCATGCATAGGAGCAATTAAAAAGCCCCAGGCACCCAGAAATGTAAAGATAACTTTGAGGATGATTAAATAAGATCTGCCTTGCTCAGCAGGATCATATGGCAAAATCCATTTCTCTCAATAGTTGGCTCATTCCCCAGGAGGGTCTGAGTTACGTTCTTGTGTCTTTTCATTTCAGGGGGCTTGCCTGTCTTTCTTCCTTGCTTGGCTTTTTGATACCCTTGGGGGGGGGATAGCTCTAGAGATTTAAAAATTGTGTATTTATTTTTAAATATGTGTATTGCTCTTGTTATATTATTTTTCATATGTATGATGCTTTGCATGTACATATGTACATTGCATGTGTTGTGCTCAGGGAGCCTAGGAAAGGGCATCTGATCCCTTGGAACTATAGTTACAGGTGATATGAGCCACCATGTGGACACTGGGAATTAAACCTGGGTCCTCTGGAAAAGCAGCCAGTGCTCCTAATTGCCAAGTTGTCCCTCTAGCCCCTAACTAAGTATCCCTTAATGATATAAAATATATATTTGTATGTATTGATTGCAATCTAAAACAAACTGGTTATGAAATTCTATTAGTTCATTTTCTGAAGGAATCTCAAATCTATTTCTGTTCTCCCTGAAGCTACAAAGCCTCCCAGGTACAAATGTGGAATCTCAAAAGCATGTCCTGAGAAGCATTTTGCTTTTAAAATGGCCAGCGGAGCAGCCAACGTCGTGGGGCCCAAGATCTGCCTAGAAGACAACGTGTGAGTATTGGATGGCTCAGGACGCGAAGGGCTTGTATTGAGTGACAGCTGGTGGGCTTGTGAGAGATGGCGCTTCTGAAATGCTTTTATTATTGTACGACCAAGAAACCTGCTTTTTATTTGACTTTGTGTAAGGATAAATGTGGCTGTTTCATTTTGATTTTTAAATACTAAGAAAAAAACTGATTCATTTCAATTTATTTCAAAAAATTTCTTCATACATAGTTGAAGTATTTCAAGGGCTCAGTGGCTCCTGGGGGCTCTTATTTTGGTTTCTTTGGGGATTTTTGTTGTTGTTTTTGGTTTTTGGTTTTGTTTTGCTTTGTTTGTTTTTGAGCATGGTTTCTCCAGATAGCCTTGCCTGCCCTATAACTCAATGTGTAGACCAGGCTGGTGTCGAACTCACCAGATACCTGCCTGCTTCTGCCTCCCGAGTGCTGGGATTAAAGGTGATTACCACCCGCGCCAGGCTCTCCACAGGGCTCTTGACCACAAATCCCACATAAAAAATACTTGGTCAGAACAAAGTTCAGTTGACAGCTTTCCCAGAGCAATGACTGTCACATTATAGGCCCGTGCCTTTCGCTTCCTGAGGTGTGAAATGACCTGGCGGTCACGGCGGGCTTGTTGCACTCAGACTGCTCTGGGTTGAGCTGAGTGGCTCCCTGGTGGTGGTGTTTTTTACACAGGATGCGTGTAGGTTTGTCACCCTGCCTTGCCACAAGTTTCTACTCTGAAACTGAAACCCCGCCTTTAGTTGCTTTTCATCTGATTGCTCAGGAAACTCGGGACATGAGCTCTTTTAATAATGGATATGCTCTCTGGCTGTGTAGACCGAAGATGAAAATGATGTACAGTCACACAGCAGAGACTGGGCCTTTTCTCCAGCTTCTTATGCATGAATCTCAAGCAGAGCTCTTAAGTTAAATTTGCAGTGAACTACGGAAGAATTAGCCACATGGGGCAACAGCTTCCTGCAAAACTGATGCTCACTTAACTCTGTCCATTCCCGTTCTTTCCCCCCAGACTAATGGGCAGCCACTGCCAAATCAGCTGCCTTCTGACTTTTCAGTACCCGGTCTGCTTATTAACACCACAAAGCATGTGGGTTTAGGAAGTTTCTGGGTTTTTAAAGACAGTTCTTTCTCCCTTGCTTTACTGAAGAGTCCATGTCTGAGACTGAATAATGGGATGAAGGTTCGTGTGGAATACCTCACCCAGGACCATTGTCTGACGCCTACTCCGTCTCTTTGAAGCATGGAGTTGAATGCAAGGAAGGGATCAAACCCTTCTAAACACTGCTTTCCAACCACACTTTAGAAGATAAATAGAAGATAAATGCTTCTTGGGAGTAGGGCTCAGCATAAGTGTGCCAGGCTGGGAGCCAGATTCTTTAGTTCTAGCATGGTGGGCATGTCATGTAGGATTTGTCCTGCGCAGTAGTTTGACCCCCCCCCCCCCCAAATTGTGGTTGCCCATCTATCAGCTGCATTTCAACAATCATTCTACTTTTTCCATAAAAGATTAATAATTGATAAAATTTTATAATTAGGCTTCAAAACATGACAATGGTCCTCGAGGAAGGGCTTCATAACTGGCCAGGGATCTCCAAAGGGATGCTGGAGGGACTGAGTCCAGTGAGTGGGGTATTGGAAGTGAGGGGAAAGGGTCTGGCTTTAGATTGGGTGTTGTGGATTGGTTCTAAGACCCCGAGTGTGGTCTAAGAACCTAGGGATCAGGAGACAGCCAGAGGCAGAGCAGAAATGTCTGAATATCCCAGACAGGGGGCACATGCTCAGGCCAGAGGGGAGGAAAGTTCTAGAAGGGAGTGAGCTAGACCATACGAGAACTTCTGAGCAATGCAGATAAAGGATTGAGGTCATTTTCTAAGTGTGCTGAGAAAGTTTTCCTACTTACTGTGTTACGATCGCATTTGTATTGAAAAGCGAATTTCGCAGGTATATAAAATGACTCGTGTAGTAGAATAAAGCCATCGCTAGTTGACATGGTGGCTCTACTCATAATTTTTATTTTATGCCTGTCTATCTACTCTACAAAATGTGCAGGTGCATAATAAAAATACGTGTGTCCTTGCACCCCATCTGAGTCCAGGAGCTCGCCGTGGAGATAGATAATCGCTCTAGATTGCTGTGAACGGCAGGGCGAATTTTGCTCCCTGTTGTGTATTTGTTATTTGTCATCGCTGTGGAGAGCCAGAGCTGTTGAGTATTTTCACTGCTCAGCTCCCTCCAAGATGTTTAGGGTAGTTGGAGCTGGTGGCGGGTATGGGAAGCAGAGCTGTATATGAAAATGTACAGTGTTTATGTCGTTTCCTTTAGGGTGTTTTTGCTGAAGGTATGTGATTGGCCAGGGGGCCTTCCCAGTTATAAAGAATAAAGTATTCTTTATTTTAATTGCTGTGTCTGCTTTTGATGTGTTTGGTTTCTTTGGCAGTTTTTCATTGATTGCAAGTTTCCCCGGTTTGATCTGTTTAAAACCTGGTAGGTTGCTGCCCTCTTGTGGGAAGCCTGTGGCAGTGTGCTTCTTGCTGCCTTCCATTCTTTGCTCTGTGATGAACTTAAGTTGATTGAAATAGGAAAGTGTGTTCCAAGATGATCTCTACTTGGAAAGTCACTGGAGTTTGACTTTCAACTCCAACTTTTAACCAACCCATTAGCAGAAACCATTCCTTTTTTGACCACTGATGGAATTTACTTGTCTAATGTGCTTCCGTAGAGTCTGGAACGCTCCTCATCTTCCTGGTGCAGCCCAGCCAGTAATCCTGTGGTGACACTTAGTCCGTCTTCTGTGTGTGCTCACGGCAAATCCTTTTGTTTAAACAGCTGGGGTATGCAGCTGATATGCCTGCACTTTCCTCGTCTGCACTGTGTAGTCACTGGTTTGTTGTGTGATTCATTGTTGTGTATAAACTGTGCCATAGTCATTTTAGGCTTTTTCTTCCGTCCTTCATTCCCTTTTGGCTGTCCTTACCCCCTGTCTCTAGAACACTGGGATTGCGGGCCCAGCATAGAACCTTGCCACACTTCTAAAAGAAGCTATACCCTTTGACTCTGGCCCCTGTTCATTTCCATTCTATTCCATACCAAGGCCTAAATCACCTTGTCTGCTTCTGTCCCTGCAGACTGGCTTGTTTGTGATGTTTCATAGATGTGTTATCTGTGGTCTTCAGGAACTGGCTTTTTTGCTTGGCGTAATGTTTTCAAGGTTCATCCAGCTTGTAGCACGTATCACGTTAATTCTTTTCACAGATGAATGATTTCCTATTACAGATATGCCTCATTTGCTTTGCCCTGTATCAGTTGGTAGATGTATGAGTTATTTCTACTCTCTAACTATCAAGAGCAGTGTTTCTGAAATATTTCTCTGCAGATTTTATGTGGATGTGTTTTCACTCTCTACTTGTACTGAATGGACTTTTCTTTCTGATAGCTGTCTGGCTTTTTAAGGAATTGTCCGATTGTTTTTCCAAAGTGACATCATCAGTTGACCTTTGTACCAAAAGTGTGTGAAGTCCTGGGTCCTCTGTTTGCCTACGCATCTAATAGGAGTGAAGTTGTAGCTCATTGAGTCCATGATTTGTGCCTCCCTAGTTGTTTATAATGTCTTACATTCTTTAAATTTGCCATAGAGAAATGTCCACCCAATCTTCTGTTGTTTTTAAAATCGATTGATGATTATTTGTATTTCCTTTGTGGGTTGTTTGTATAAAGATATTTTTACTCTTTTACTTTCTATTACCTATATCCTTATATTTACAATGAATTTATTGCCATCATTATGTAGTTGATTCTGTTATAGCCAATGGTTTCCCTTCTGTCTTTGTGAACAAAGACAGTTTGTTCTTTGGTGCAACTGTTACAATTATATTCCCTGCAACCACAGCTCAGTTCTAGGTATGAGTTTGGTGGGAATCAGTTGACACCTGTGTGACTTAGTTGGCTATGAGGAATGTATGATAAAGTATTGTGTGGTTTTTTGCAAAATTGTGTGTTACATGTTTTATCAGGAAAATTTGCAGTGTACTAATGTGCACACAGTGCCCCTCTTCCAGCACACACTGCTGAGGGCGTTGCTACTACATTTAATTCTATTAATTAAACACTACCTATAAATTTTGGTTTAATGGTCAATAAAATAAACTGATAGCAGGAAGCCAGTGTGCCACTGTGGTCTTCTGGCACTATGGTCTGTAGACCGCAATGATGCTGGTTGCCACTGTGTCCCCCACCCCACCGTCATCTGTCATTACGATCTGTTGGGTGCAGCGACGTCGGTAATCTCAGGCAGCCCGTTCATGGCTATGGTGAGGTAATCAGCAAGAACAGCCTTCTTTTTGCATGCAGAGAAAGTTTCTGTTAATAATCAGTAGGAAGATAGGAAAATGTTCACAGTGAGGTGACATGGGCATGACCGTTGTCCATTACTCCTCCAGCTTCAGACTTGAAAGTGTCCATATAGAATGCGGCTCCATTTCATGTCACGGTGTCACAGTGACCCTGTGGAGGTGGGGAAGATAGGGTGTGTTTGGCTCCTTGCGAGTGGTGGGGATCAAGCCCGGTAGTGCCCATGTCTTAAAGGATATCTCAGGTAGCACTGCACAGAGTGAGGCAGAGCAGTAACACTGTCGTTGAGCCATAATGCTTTTATTTAAAAGGCTTTCCTTTTATTTTTGTGTGCCTGGGTGTGTGCACGGGAGTGCAGGCGTTGGTGGCAGCCGGAGACATCAGATCCCTGTAGCTGGAGTTAGAGGAGGTTGGGAGCGTTGGGTCTCTGTATAAGTGGTATGTGTCCTTAACCATTGAGCTCTCTCTGGCGCCAGTGTACCTTTATGTGTAGTTTTTGACTTTATGAAGTATTATTTGAGTTAACGTTATAGTTGATCCAACTAAGGCTGTCTTTATATAGTAAGTTTTTACTTTGCTGAGCTGAGTGTTTGCTATGTGTATAATATTTTGCATTATATTTGTGTGACATGTGTTCATATACTATCTAATTCTAATGAGTTTGTCTTGACTTCTTTTCCTCTAGTTTGATGAGCGGTGTCAAAAACAATGTTGGAAGAGGAATAAATGTTGCCTTGGTAAATGGTAAGAATAATTATTGTACTTTATTGATGTAATCAGTGGGTGTATGTATGCCCCGCACTAAAATTTACCCTTGGCACCAGAGTAGAAAGCACCACTCAGTACTGAAGCCTTCCCAACAAGGGTACCCTCTTGTCCAAACCATTGCAGATGGAGACTCGGAATCTCCTGGTGGGTAGCATGTTTTCTTGGGCATATTGCAGCCATGTGCATTGTGTGGTGAGCTTCTTGTGAAACTGCAAGCCACCAACCTGATACTGAATGGATGCAATCTTGCTGCACCTTTCAGAATTCTTACTAAGGAGCTAGGTAGGCAGGATTAAGGTTGTGTAAAATGACAAGGGATGGTGGACTGTCAGATAAGTAGAGGGGAGAGTAAAGTCATATTTGTTGTAAGTTTTCAGTACTGTCCACATTCTCCTTAGAGGTTATTTGTGCCCCTAAATTCACTGAATCCTGGACATAGTGAGTGTTACAAAAGTAGATCTTAAGCATCCAGCCCACGAAGTGCAGGCTTTCGTGCATTGCTTGCCTCTGCTCAGACACGTGTTTCCTCTGCCTGGGGTGAGTAGACTCTACCAGCGGCAGTGCAGCCAACCCCCAGCAGAGAGAAGCTCTCTTTGCTCTCATCATGGGTAGTATTTATACGACTTTGTACTTTCTTTTCCCCAAGTAAAAATTTTAATGTCTCCTCTATTTAATGGATCTTCAAGATAAAATAAATGTGAATTTTATTTGGAAACAAAAGTTTTACTATAGATTGTTGTTTTTTGCTCTGATTTAAGTAGCTAATGTCTTTGCTGTAGAGGTTATGTGTTGGTGGTTAATGTCGTGGCTTGATGACCTCACAGGAAAGTGAAGTGTAGTACGGAACGGGTCTGAAGTCAGTGAGGCACAGCTGTGTGTATGCTTCAGATCGTAAGTTCTAGAAGCATTCCTTCTGTTGATGAGTTCATGTCCCTTGTTGGGTAAGACCGTTTTTTTCTACGCTGATATTTCAGTTGTGTGATTTAAATTTGATGTGTCTTCTGTCTCTTTCAGGGAAGACAGGGGAGGTACTAGACACCAAATATTTTGACATGTGGGGTGGAGGTACGTACGACTTACCCTGTGTTCCTGCTGCCGATCCAAACCCATGTGAGAGAAGGCTGCCAGTGTTTGCATTTCCGCTTTGTTTCCCTATGTGTCCAGCCATGTTTCAGTGCACTGTTGTGTTGCATGTGGTTTGGCTATGGTAGGAAAGTTGCCTGCGATTGAGATTCCAATGAGATTAAAGGACATTAGCATTCCGTGTTTTCACAGGACAACTGACTAAAAGCCCTGACTCGATTTTGATTTCTACTTGAAAGTCAGATTACTAGAAGACCAGTCCAACCAGTTCACACAGTTTTAGACTGAAGTGGCTTGCGTTCTCGAAAAGCAGTAATCCCATTAACCCATCCTGTTTCTACTTTTGGACTCTCCTATGACAATAGCAAACATTTAGAAACGCACAGACTTTTCCTTGTAATTTGCTGGACTCGGAACAAGCCACAGATATTTTTCCCTTCCCTGTTTGGGAGTCCTAGGAATAGGAAGAGGTCACCATCAAATACTGGTGAATTTGAAGCAAAGAATGTTACCCCAAAGGGGAATGTTTCTTTAAAAAAATAAGGAAAAATATTTGTTTTCATTATTTTAATTTTGTGTAGACGTGCGTCTTCATGTGGGTATGGCCACGTGGGTGGGTATGGCCACGTGGGTGCAGGTGGCTGAGGAGGCAAGTGGCAACGGATTTCTGGAGCTGGAATTACAGGCACCGTGAGCCACCGGGTGTGATGCTGGGAGCCAGATTCAAGTCCTCGGAAAGAGGAAAAAGTGGGCTGCTTATGTCTGAGTAGCCTAACTTTCCAGCCCCCAGGATTTCTTCGTCTTTAAGGAAGGCAGGCTGACCCTGGGTTATTTTTTGGCTCCCTGGCTTCTTTACATATGCACTACAAGCTACTACTACTTCTCTCAGGCCTCCAGACATTTATGTTCAGTTTCCAGACAAGCTAACGTGTCTAATTTTTCTTCAGCTTTTAATAAGACGCTATATATTATTTATTTAAGCTTTAGAGCATGTTTCATAGCTGTCAGACGTGTATTAAATTACACCGTTCCCATCAATTTTAGATTCTGAGAGCATAATTGCTCTTAGTCTAATTTATAACACAGAAACTCTTCCATGAAGCTGTTGAAATTGGGCATGTAAACAGAGCTCTGGGATTGCTCTCACTGCCCATCACAGGAGCCACATTGCTGCCAAAGACTCTTCCTGGTTCAGAAATAATAGCAGCTTAATGCCATCTTCTCATTTCAATGGTAATGATTTGTTGGCATTTATGTTCCCGCATTGAAAATGTGCTTACTGTAAAATATAATCAATTAGAGAAAAATCTTTGGAATCTTCGATGTTGGAAAAAAAAAGTTGGGAAGACTTGAAGTAATATAGTTTTGGAGTAGACTTAGGCTTGTGGTCTATAAGGAAAGCTAGCATTGCAGAGAGCTCATGATGGAAAATGCGTGAGTCCACGAGCAGTCTCTCTGGCGACACCAGTTTGCACTCCCTGAGCTGGGTGATTGGGAGCTTCCTGTGGGTTGGTTTCCTAAGGGGACCAGTGTTGGCCGTAATTAGTTTGGCTCTTAGTCACTGTCTACATCCCTTCCCCAGAGTGGTGCACCCAGAAACTCTTTCTAAACCCGCCTTGCTACTGATTAAAAATGTTTTTCAGAGGCCTCTGGGGATTGGTTAAAAGCAGGGCTTCCTTTTCCCGGAAAAGCACCCATATTAACATTCAAGGCCATGGGCATTCTAGTCCCCAAAGCCTCACATGGACCTGAGAACAGGCTTCCTGTGGACTCTAGACTCAGTTGTGTATTCCTGAGAGGCCTCTGAGGCCCTCACTTTACAAGTGATATGCTCACATAACTTTCCTATGGATTTTTATTGGCCCCGATGATATGAGTATGAAAGATGATTCAGAACTGGGAAAGAAATCAGGAGGTGGAGGGACCATATTAATTGGTAATTTGGTTTAGTGTTTTTTTTTTTTTTCTTCCCTGGGTGGACTTAAAAACTTTGACCATTTAAGCTTTCCCTAAGATTTGTCTGTCTTAATTTACATTATTTTTCATTAGAAACAATTGTTTTATGGAAACTGCATATGACATTAATTGTATAGATTATTGTGATAATAATTCCATTATTTCTAAGAAAATCTCTAACCCTTCTTTTTCTTCAGATGTGGCACCATTCATCGAGTTTCTGAAGAACATACAAGATGGAACCATAGTGTTAATGGCAACATACGATGATGGAGCAACCAAGTATGTAAACTTAAAGCCTAACAGCTTTTGGAGCTATTATTTACCCTTTAAAAAGCAGTATATTTTCACTCAAAAGACAAAATCTATTAACTTGATAAGGTAACTATTGATAAGTGCGATCAGTTTTTAAAAATCCTATTTCCTTTCTAGCTTTACATATAACATTTCTTCATGTGTTGTGATGAAATTTGAATCACACTGTACATAGTGTTTTATAACTTCTTTTACACTGTAACAATGTTAAACTGCTTTCTCTGACATTTCTTTCTTTGTTTTTTGGATTAACATTCTTGAGTAACATTTTTATGGCTCTTAGCACTTTGACCTGTGGGCTCACATTTGTGAAGAGTCTCTTTGTAACGGCAAAGTTTTTTATCTAATGAATAGCGTTCTTTTACATAATTTTTTCTTTACCTTTGATTATAACATTGGGGTAAATTTCTAAAAAGTGAAATTAGTGGTCAAGAACATAGGTGTGAGGTGTGTGTGTGCGCACATGTGTGTGTGTGCATGTGTGTGTATGTGCATGTGTGTGTGTGTATATGTGTGTATGTGCATGTGTGTGTGTGTATATGTGTGTATGTATACAAGGTGGTTTTTTTCTTTTTTTCCCTTATGTATATTTTCTTTTATGAGTTATCCTTTGAGCATTCAGGTTGATCCATGTTGATTTGTAAGAGTCCTTTATGTGTTAAGATATTAATGAGTTCCTTTATTAAAAATACAGATTTTATAGGCAGTTTGCTTTTAGTTTTGTCACCTTAAGGTATCTTTGACTTCTGGCAGATAGGGTAGCATTTACATATTTGAGACTGTAGATTTTTTTTTTTTTTGTTTCTCTGACTCTTAAACTCGAGAAGTATTTTTCCATCTCCATATTAGATAACGAGTAGATTTCCTCCTGCAGGAATTTCACCCTTTTCCTGTATTTTAAAAGCCCATTTGTAATCTGCAGAGATCCCCAGTGTCTGTGTTGTGTCAGGTTCTAAGATTCCTTGGGTTTTCTCTAGTTCTTTGATGGTCTGTTAACCTCTTTCTTTCTGTTCGTGAGGACACTGTTTCGGTTGCCTGATTTGTCAAAATGAGCGTGCTTTATTCCTCCCCGATGTTATTTTTTTAGAGCACTCTATGAGGGACCCTGACATTGCATTTTCACTGACTCAACTTATGATAACGTTAAATCGATAAACTCGAAGCTTAGTGTGACTGGCAGGTTCAGCTGGTTTTGCATAGCTAAGTAGTACAGAGTCTAATAAACTTTATTCGTTTAGCAAAAGTGACATGTGCAGTGGTTTGTCTAGATTATGGGCTATTATTTGTATAATGTCAGCTTTTAACATAGAAGCTCCCTTTCTATCTAGACACACGTGACCTTTCTTTTCCACCACGTGCTTTCATTCCTGAGCTGATGGGAATCAGAACTCTGATGAGACGCTGATGTAGCCTTGAGAAGGTTGCACTGTGGGCGCCCTGAAGCCCACCTGAAGCAGCCAGCAAGCCTGGACAAGTTCTTAAAATCTCAAGTGTGTCCTTGGACTTCCCAAGGAAGGAAGCCAATACCCTCGCTGTTTCCCAGTTTGTAACAAAAGAAGCTGAGGGCATAGGGAAGAGATGCTGTCTGCTGAGGGCCAGCTCTCAGTTCTGTTCAACAGTCCTTATGCTGGGTAAAATGGAATAGCAAAACACTGAAAGCCTTCCCTTGTCACCTGATACCAAAATATTTGAAGCTAATTGACATTTTTCTTTCAATTTTCCAGACTCAATACACATAGCTTTTTAAAGCCTTTTATCATATTAGGTTCTTGCTGGTTTCCCTTCCTGGCTGTATTTCTTGGGCATTCTTTAGTTCGTTATTGTCTCTCTTAAAATGAGTGTCTCAAATTAAACCCAGTGTTCCAGATGTGGTCTGGCCAGAACTGGCTACAGCGGAGACGCTAACTTGCCATGTTTCAGAGATTACATTTCTTTGAATATTCATGCAGACTGGAATTATATTAGTTTTCTCTAAGCAATCAAATCACATATTTGGCTCATAAATTTTTAGTCAAGTTAGGTTGTTAAATTGTCAAATCTTTTCCTTTGATCTCAGCCGTTCTTTATTTTTTAAGCCACTGCCAAGTCAGGTTTTTCTCCATTCTGAATTTGATTTTATTTAATGTAAATGAAGAACTTTATATTCATTTATTCCTGTTAGATTTGATTGTACTGATTGGGCCTGCTTGGTCTTGAGTCTGACGTGTGTCCTAGGAGGGTTCTGTGATCCAAGCTTTGTACTCACTCCAAAGCCATTCATGTGTCTAAATTTTCAGCCCTCGATAAAAATGTTTACGAAGGGCAGCATGCCACCAAACTAGAGACCTGGTTGCTCACCGGATTCTTCCGTTAATCCATTGCAGGGATGGCTTTGCGGACAACTGCCAGTGTCCCCCAGTAGGTGTGCCGTCCAACTGCAACTTAGTTCCTCTACTCCCAACAGCATTTTTCGGAGGCTGTCTGTTGCTAACTTGAAATTCATAGAGGAAACTAATTGCAGTGCCCTGATCTGCTGCCATGGAGCTTAAGTTTCAGAGATGTCATTTAGCTTGGCTGGATTCGCTCCTGTGCCCTTCCAGCTACACCCCCCCCCCCATGCCTCCCTTCATTGTTATACTTACAAGGGCTTTTTGTTGTCTTCCGAGCTAGTGTTTCCTTAGGAATTGGAATTTGTTTTATCGGAGTCAGGGTTATAGGTGTACGCTGTCACTTCTGGCTTTTAAGTGCAATTCTAGAATCAAACTCGTGTGTTCTTGTTTTTGCCCAGCAAGCACCTTCACCACCAAGCCGTCATCCCCTTGGCCCTGTTGGCCTTTAAAACAAAACACAAACTGGATGATCAATCAGCGTGACTATTTCTCAGCATTCCTTCATTGCCTGTGTGGTTCGTGTAGGGTTGAGGCCTCCTGAGTGCCCCTTCCCTGCCATGTTGGCATGTCTGTTGTTATTCTCCTTGCTCAGGTCATGTTTAGGCATGTTTGAGACTTCATGCCTGCAGCTACGGATATTTCTCGGAGATAAAGAAATCTCACTGCATACTTCCGGCTCCTCTGGCTGTTAGCATCTTTCTTCTCTTCTGCAATGATAACCGGAGCCATGGAAGCACCAGCATGTGGCAGAGCAGGTGTATGTATTTATTTAGGAACACACATCACCACCACCAAGGGTCTGTACGTGTGGCTCATGTCTTTAATTCCAGCACTCTGGAGGAGGCACAGGAAAGCCAGCTTGGTCTACGTAGTGAATTTCAGGACAGCCAAGACAGAGGACGGCCATGACTTAAATTGGAGAGAGAGCAATGAAAGGGATATGGGGGAGGATTAGGAGGAAGGGTGTCATCTCGGACATAATTAAATAAAGGTTACTTTTAAAAATAAAATACAAGATTTACAAAAAGAAAACCCTGGAGTATTATACTTTTAACGTCTTAACATCTCCATTTTTCATTATCAAACAATTGACTCTTCCTTAGATTGCATCAGGTGTTTCCTTTAGAAACTTTGTGTCTGATGTATGTGGACCCAGAGGCTTAGATTGTATTTAAAATGCATACCTGGACTTTGTTGAGTTATGGTTCTCTTTTTCCGCCACCCAAGCAATGCTCGCCTCCCTGGGCACATGGCCTTGATCAAACAGTACCCTGTTCCTCTTTTTGTAACACCAGGTTTCTTCATTACACTTTGTTGCTACTCTTTTTGTCTTCGTAACAGATTTTTTTTTTAAAGTGGTTTTTTTAGTCCTGCTTCATTCCTACAGGGCAGAATTCATATAGTATTACTAAAAGCATCCTCTTTAGTAATGTGCTTTGCCCTAGACTTTAAAAGCTTTCCTGTTTTCGATTAAGTACCATCCTATGATAGCACTAATTTAGAAATTACTTCCCTCCCCAGATTGTTATATTGTTAAAATTACTTTTGTTTGCTTGCTTGTTTTTACATTTATTTATTTAGTTTATTTATTTGTTGGGGTGGGGATAGGGGAATACACATCCCAGGTGTGAAGGTCAGGCCACAGTTTTAGGAACTGACTCTCCCCTGCCTTGCGGGCCCAGGGATCAAACTTGTTGGTAGGTGTTTTGACCCACTGGGATATCTCCTAGACAGATGTTTGCTTGCTTTCAAAGAACTGCATGCTCATAAGAATTTTTGAGGAACTGTGTTTAATCTCTGGTCTCTCTATCTACCTGTGATTATATTTTTTAGTCTTCAGACTCTAGAGGAGTGTCACTGTTTTCTTCCAGAATTCCATGTACTTATATGTCCTGGCTTGTTCTTGTGTAAGTGTGTATACCCTTGAGGACATCAAGTGTCCTCTTCTTGCTTTCTGCTTATTCCCTTGAGACAGTCTCTGGCTGCTTCTGACACGTACCATTTCTCACCTGGGCCATTGGTTAGCAAGCAAGCTTCACATACCATCCTGCAGCCTCCATGCTCTCCCTAGAGCCAGGGATACAGGCGTACGTGGCCTCCTCGGCTTTTAACAGACTTGCGGACGCTCAATCCGTCCTTGTGCACTCTTAGCCACCAAGCCTTCTGCTTAAGGTTTCTAAACTCACCTGTTCAGAGGAGCTCAGCTGGTGACCACCACCATCAGGAAGAAGTAAAGCACACAGCATTAGGATAACCCCTGTATGGGGGGGGGGGGCGTTGTTCCTGTTGTTTGTGCATTTAGCATTCATTATTTCAGTTTATCAAGACTGCAAACTGTCCTTTTTCTGAGGAATCAGTGTGAATGGAGCCCTGCGGCTCTTGGTGGGGGGGGGCAGTGAGGTTAGCACCCTGGAGCCTAGTGCCTGACATCCACATTGCCGTATGTTCACTCTCCTTCCAGTACCGCAGCTCCTCTGCTTGTGTAGAGAGAAGCGGAGAGTTCTTTTCAAAGTAGCCAGACAGTGGAGCACATAGAGAGACTGCAGGTGGAGAAGAACCAGGACTCCTGGGGAGGCAGGGCTCAGCCAGTCCGTTCAGGGTTGCTCCAGTGCAGAAGGTGCTCCACAGCCGAGCCAGCCATGGGAAGTGACAGCTGAACCCATGAGGCGGAGCCCAGAAGCATGTGAGCACCATTCCTGCAAGGGTCCTCACAGATTCACAGACTCAGGTGGCGTGGCTCTTGCTTTTTTTAAAATTCCTTTTTGGTTTTTTTGAAACAGAGTTTCTCTGTGTAGCTTTGAAGCCTGTTCTCTCTCTCTCTCTCTCTCTCTTTTTAATAGTGTGTGTGTGTGTGTGTGTGTGTGTGTGTGTGTGTGTGTGTGTGTGTGCGTGCCCATAGAGGCATTGAAGTGAAGTTACGCATGGTTGTGAGCCACCCACGGCGGTATGTAGGACCTGAACTAGAGTCCTTTGCAGGAGCTGCCCCAGCTCTTAGCCGCTGCACCATTTCCCTAGTCCTCGAAACATTTATTATTTGGTGTTTTGTTTTCATGGGCTCCTATTGAACGTAGGCAATGTGCTTCTTTTCGGTTCCCTTACTCACACTGCATCTTTTCAGAAGTGCGTCGGGCAGGCGGCGTGTTCTGGGGCTTTTGCTTATTTTCTCACGGGTTCTGGTGAGCTTCCTCCAGGGTGTCAACAGCCTTCCAGCTGTGTTTGAAATAGTTCCTGTGCCCTCTGGATGTGACTGAATAATCTGTGAAAGCTGCGTGCTACACCGGTGCGTTTCATATTTTATAAAGCTCTCCCTTTAAATGCCAAGCACCATACTTTAAGTCAGTTTAAGGTGGAGTTTGTTCATTAAGGCTTTAGAGAACGGAAGGCTGCTACTGGCGTGAATCAGCACCTTCCTCATTGATGGTCCTGCTCTTTTCAGGGGGAGCATGCTGCTCTGAGGGTTAGCAGGACAGGCCGACATAGGTCCATAAAAGTCATGTTGTTGTTGTTGTTGTCGGTGGTGGTGGTTTTGTTTGTTTGTGCAGGACTTCATGTCAAATAGCCTGTGTGTCTGATTCTTAGTTTCCCTTTCTAGCTCTGTAGCTAGTGTTCATCGCTTTGTTTCTGCTCTTTGTGAGTCAGGAGAGGGACTCACTCAACATTTTAGGCATCTCTGCAGATATTTTTAGTGGCACCTTTCAATTGAGAGCTTGTCTGGAGGCTGACGTTCGTTACAGTCTTCCTGGCAAACATTTAGCCCTCACGTAGTTATTTAATAGCTAAAGGGCACTTTATATATCTCTTCTCAAAGTTTGCTTTAAATAAAAGGCAGTGCTAAGAAGCCCCCGGCATCTGTCAGCGTTGGCTTCTCTTCCATTGCCACGAGGCTTTGGGGAGTGAGTGAACACGCTGGCGAATGTGAGCGGGGCTGTGGTCTCCCTTGATGGTGCACGCACTTAGAAATAACTCAGTGCAGACAGACTGTTAGGAAATGCGGCTGTTTCCGGGGCACGCTCTGACTGACGAACTGCTTTATTTCTGCCTTGAGTAGGGATGTTGTTTTAGACGTTTTTCTCCGTATTCATTTTTTCTGTTCTCTGATTTAATCGGAAGTGTTTTCACCCTCGTGTTCAGTGAGTCTCTGGGTAAGCGTTTAAAAAGTGCCATGCCCTGTGTTTATGTCTCGTCCTCTCTTTCAGACTCACCGACGAGGCGCGGCGGCTCATTGGTGAGCTGGGCAGTACATCTATCACTAGTCTTGGTTTCCGCGATAACTGGGTCTTCTGTGGTGGGAAGGGGATTAAGACCAAAAGCCCCTTTGAACAGGTTAGTGTCTGAGTTTTCCTCATATAATATTCTCAAACCATTTATTTAAAAATTACATTAATTTCCAGGCAGTGGTGTTCTCCTTTAATCCCAGCACCTTTAATCTGGGAGGCAGAGGCAGGTGGACCTGGTTTAAAACCAGCCTGCTCTATAGAGTTAGTTCTAGGACAGCCAGGGCTATGTAGAGAAGCATGATCTGAACAACTTCTCCCCCCCCCGAAAAAAAAGAAAAGATAGAAGAAAATTAGGTGAAGCAAATACTGAATATGTCCAGATAGTTTTTGTAAGTTCTTGGTATATAATTAAAATAATGATGACCTTTAAAATTTTTTTCAACTTAAAATTATTACCCTCTTATTCGACAATGCATTGTCACTCTCAGTTGTTAAGGATTTCAGCTGTGCTTTCGTGCTGGAACAGCTGAATTTGCAGGTATCTCGGAACTCAAATAGAATGTAAACTTTTCGACAAATAATCCTTTCAAAGCATTTGCAGATTTTTCTTTACACGCGTTTTTAATTTTTGTACGGTTTGCCACATAGCTCCCTGCCCACAGAGGACCTTTAATCTCTTGAGCTGTAGTTATGTTACCGCATTGTTAACCTGTGTTCCCGAAACGAGGCTGAGCCGGTTCAGCCACTGCGAGTTAGCAGATCGCAAACATCCATTAAGCTGTGCACTGCCGTTGTGTCCCCCGCAGCACATCAAGAACAATAAGGATACAAACAAGTACGAAGGATGGCCCGAGGTGGTGGAGATGGAAGGATGCATCCCCCAGAAGCAAGACTGAAGGGAGCGCGAAGACGGGAGGAACGCACTTTGATTCCGACGCGGCAGGCTATAAAGCCGCCGCTCCACTCCGTGTACATATTCCAGCAGCATGCGGCCGTTCAGGGTGTGCACGAGCAAGATCGTCTCTGTCGATTCCAGGATTATTTATTGTTAACATAAATGACTACCTTTGTAAATAGCCCTCAGATCACTAAACCCCTTTTAAGCACATTTCCCTACAAGAACAATTTGTAGACTTCAGTGGCAATAATGTACTTTAGTACGGAAAGCATATTCGGTGGGTAACCAGGCAGGCTACATAGGCATTGATTTATATTCTGGTTGCTGTGAAACTCTGTCCTGGAAAAACATGGCTTTTAGGGAGGAAATTTTATTCGTACATACATATGTCTCTGTATAAATATCTGGCATGTGATGGCAGTATCCTTTAAATTAAAGAGATTTTTGACTAGTTGTATGTATAATGTTATCTTACAGTCTGGCCCCTGGCGTACCTCTTTTCGTAGTCTTAATTTTTTTTCCTTCCAAAGAAAGCAAGAAATAAAATATTTCACATGAAAATTTTCATCAGGTTTGTGAAAAGCACAATGTTTTTTTTTTATATATATATATATACACTGAAAATGAACATTAATGTAGGTGTCATTTTGGGCTCACCTTCTGGATTTTGTGTTAGCAGTGTGAATTATGTGATTTGTGTAAGCTTTTTAGAGTCCGCCTACAGGTGGGACCGAATTGGAGAACCAGGCCAGGTCTCTTCCTCAACCTAACCAGATCGTTCACAACAGCTGGGTCAGCGCCCCCAGGGCAATGCAGGCTCACGTCTGCTTGGTTGCTGTCACTGACCACGTGGATTACTCTGCTTGTCACAGCGTTGATTTGTAAACCAAGAACTTCTGTTATTTACTTCTCACTTCATAGTAGCCACCGCTGCCTGGAATTGCAACTGAATATTTTAAAAAGCCCTAATTAATTTATTAGGGCACCAATACCTATCATATGTGACATGTATGGAATACTTAAAATGCAACGTAAATAAATGGAGGGCTCATGCTGCCTTTTCATGGGATGAAGCAACACTTAAAATTTGAACCTAAAATTTAGGTGGCTTGTATAAAAATCAAAAAGCAGTATTTGCTATTTTGTTAAAAGCTGGAAGCAATTCACATATTTCTTGAATATTACTGACCTTGTGTTACTGTTTCTTCTCAAGAACTGAATGTAGTAGTTCGTAAAGAGTCTTGTCTTCTGTCTTCAGGCAAGTTTTGTAAACTTTTAAGAGTTCTGGTGCTTCTATCCTAACTCATGCCCAACATGCATGTCTTGACATGTAAAATATTTCCCTTGATTCTATTAGTTGTTTTACAGTTTCTGGGGATTGGAAAAAATAAATGTTGCAGGTTTTGTTTTTTGTCTTTTTAATAATGTAAGTACTCTTGGTTGCACATTGTGAATTGTGTCTGTGTGTATTTGACAAAGTACATACTGTATCTGCAAAACATCACATGACTGTCTTTTTTGACAATTTTTTTTGTACTTAACATTTAAAAATTAAGTCTTTGCATTAAACACAGTAATATTCTCTGGATATATTTGAACATGTGTAGAAATTAAGTTGCTTGACAACAGACTATCCCTTTGGATTTTACTGACCGGAGAGATGGCTCTTGCAGTGTAAAGTGTGAGAAGAGTAACCCTGGTTATGGAACTGCTACAGTGCAATTGTTTTCGTCTGGCTCCTGTCTTGTGTTGGTTGCACCAGCATTACTGGAAGCAATAATCGACTGTTTTACGTTCACATCAGCCTTAGAAGTGAAACAATGCTCGTTTGGTGTTGAGAATTTTCTTTATTAAAGTCAAAACTCTAACTGGCGTGTAGTCGTTGAAGTGATGGGAGAGGTCTGCGGATGCAGGTCCATCTGTGATCACAGGCTCTCCCCTGTGGAGCTATGGGCGGGGGTGTTAGAACAGGAAGGGGAAGTAAGTGGGTATCTGGGCAATAAGAAAAATAAAGAGAAGGTTTATATTTTTTAACTTGGCTCAAGTTAAATTCATTTTCTTTTGTTATATTGTTTTTGAATAAATCAGCCAGTAATTTGCAAATTTTATAATTTAGCTTGTGTTTTGTATTTCAAAGGTCTGCACGAACTATAATTTGATCTCAAAATGATGCATTGTTTATTCTGTTTTGTTAGTACACTCTTTCCGTTTTAAATGGAAAAAAAAAGAGAAATGTACAGTTTGAAGCAGTTTAAATGGAAATGCATTTAACATCTTTTCAACTCAGTATGAAATGGGGATGCTTGTTGATTGGGTTAAAGATTTGCCATTCAACCAATTACCTCCACCTTTTCAAATGCGTATGGTGTGGAGTTATAGAAGCTAGAAATGGATTTTACCTTTTCTAAAGCATTCTAAGAGTTCTTGTCCTTACCAGGAAGCCTTTGCTACCACAAACTTGGTTTGATTGAATGGCCAGTTAATCCCCACCTCTCAAATCCCTTCTTTCTCCTCTTATTCCTTCTTGAAACTCTTGGCACCCATCAAATCAGAGCAAGGTGGGATGAAAAATTGTCAGGCTTAGTCAGGGAGGGGCGATTGTTGCCAGGTAGGATAACGGAGCATCAAAGGAAAAAGTTGAGGCTAGTGAAGGCCCATTGAGGGAGTTTTACATCTTCCTCCAGCCGAGAGGGTACCCCATGAGAGCACTGTACAGAGGACGTAATTCTATGGTGGCCAGAGGACAAGGGGGTTGGTCAACCCTGAGGTTAGGTAACAGCAGTGTTTCTCTTGGGTTGTCCGTAACCTTGTGATTAGCTTGGGGAGACTCGCTAGCCCCTGAGCTGACAGGTGCTATTTGTTGCTAGTACTAAACTCACTGTCTACATCAGTTCTGCAGCGTGGAATGCACTGAACATGGAGCGAACTTGAGACTGTATTAGTAAAGATGTTCCAGTATTGGGGACACTTTGTGGACATGCCAGCTGCCAACATTTCATAGAATTAGCTTCTGTTTGCTTGATAACCAGAGAGAAGAGGGCCTAAAACCTTAGGGGGGGGCATTCTGTAAGAGGAAACTGTGTAGCATACTGCTTAACACCACAGATGTGCCTGAGTGTGCCCTGTGTGTCCACTGGTTGTGGTTTGAATGTTGTTGGTTTTCTGTAAAGCAGTACTAGAGTGTTTACGGTGCCAGCCAAAGACAAAATACTCAATAAGTCCAGTTACCGATGCCTATTGCCGACTAGTAGACTTCTAGATCCAGAAAAGTTAGAACTAAGGGACACATGTGATTCTCAAGTGTCTTTATCTTAAAACTAAATGTCAAGCTTTGCATTTTGATTTGTTTATGCATGATGACATTAACGTGGAAATCTGAATAATTTTCAAGCTCAGCTCCAAAACTACTGTGCTTAGGTTTAGTTCTGTTGGCAACTACATTGGGAACTTCATTAGAGACCTGCATTATTTGACGAGAGCAGAAGTGAACAGCATGTCTTGGGAGTTCAGTTCTGGATGTAGGGAAGATTTCAGAGTGAATCATGTTGGACACTGTCATCTAAATGTGTTCGGGTCACCCACAAGCCAGTAGTCAGTGGTGCCTGTAACCTGGGCAGTCCAAGAATACGGAACAGGAGGTTCAGTTGGTTAGTTTCCTTAGGTGTGAGGAATGGGATCTAGATACTTGCTCTAGAGAATGCTCCACCCTCAATGGTTTTCTGCCCTTGAGCAGGCAGCCGTGAGACACCCGATAAATGAATGAACCTGTCCCTAAACTACAGACATTGGAAGCTCTTTGTAGTGAGGAGCTGCGGGCAGACCTGTTTTTTGTCCTGCACGGCTAACTTAGCCCCAGAAATAACAACACACAAATTGTATTCATTTAAACACTGCCTGGCCCATTATTTTTAGAGAGTTAGTTACTGGCTAACTCTCACATCTTGATTAACCCATTTTTAATAATCTGTGTAGCACCACAAGGTGGTGGCTTACCGGAAAAGATTTAGCATGTCTGACCTGGTGGCTGGCTCCATGGCGTCTGCCTCATTGCCCTCTTTCCAGCATTCTGTTCTGTTTACTCCGCCTACCTAATTTTCTGTCCTATCAAAGGGCCAAGGTAGTCTCTTTATTGACCAGTGAAAATAACACAATAGACAGATAACCGTCCTCCATCAGCTCTTGGTGAGCATGAGGTGGAAAGCCAGCAGAGTGGTTAATTATGTGTTTTGCAAACACTGCCAAAATTCTGTTATTATGGAAATACTCTGGAGTGGGTCCCCTATGGTTCTGAATCCCAGGGGCATGTTGGATGTGGGACCCAGTGGCAGGTATTGTGGCAACTAGAATTTTGAGGTTTCTATATTTAATCAGTGAAGCTCAGAGTAGTATTTTGAGAAATAGTTGATTGGTTATTTGGAGAGAGAAAATATTTTCAGGTTGGCAAAAGGAAAAATTTCTCAAAATAGTGAAATTTGTTTTTGTGACATCTTCCTGTTCTCATTAAATAGAAGGCACATCAGAGACCATGTACCCATCCCATTGACTTCCGTTTTCCTGCTTTCAGTCTTACCGTATGCTACTTTATTTTATTTTTTTCCCAAAGAGCTTGAGCACCATAAATATTAGTTTTCTGGAGAGTTTAAGATACAGGGATGTTAGTGCATAGGACAAGTGAAGAGTGCAGATTATGTACTGAGAAAAAGCAGATTGTTGGCTTAATTTGTGTGTCCCCTCTGCTTGCCTTAGAGTATAAGTTGTATTGAAATATCCAGTAAAATATGGTGATGGCCTTTGCTCATCAGAAAGATGCATTGGAGATGCAGGTTTACCTTTTTTTTTTTTTTACCATAGAAGCCCAGATCTAGGTAGGGATAGGCTATGACCACAGCTGTTAGGTTGTTACTAATGGTTCTCGGCAGCTGTGGAGGTCATCCCTGGTGCTAGACCAGCCATTTAACAGGAAATAGACAGTCTTTATTCCATCACATTTTGCTTCCAATTCTTATGAATCAGATGATTCCACTTACTGTGCTCATTAAAAAGACAGATGAACCTCGGTTTGAGTTGACTCGGTTCATATTTATTGCTGTCTCCTCTCCATAATCACTCAGAGGGCTGCTTTCTTTAGCATCTTTTTCAAGGTTTTAACCTCTGCAAACCCCTCTGTCTGGGAGATAAAACATTGCAAACGACAAATGTTACCCATTTTCTGAAAAGAATACCTTGTGAAGCAGTTGGCTCTAAGCACATCAGCAAGGGCGTATTTGTTTTATGCTGACTTAAATTGTTTTGTTATTTACTCAGACAATTTCTTCTTGGAAGATTGATAGCTTCTTGGGCAATCCAACTATTAGCAATGTGGGGATCTAAAATAGAGGCTAGCTTAAATCACTTTGAGTTCCTTAACCAAGTTTATGGAACCGAACCATGAAGAAACATCTGCAATTTGACGATACTTACAGATCCCTCAAAGTCTTTCCATGGTGTAAACCTAGTCCATTGGTGATTTGGACACCGTGTGATGCACAGTAGCAGTGTGGCAGTGGATGGCACAAAGGCAGCTGGTCCATCCTGTGTGAGCATGGGAGGCTACTTGACTGACAGTTACTATGCTAACCTCCCTCATCTGAGAAATGGAGCCACAAAAATGGTGCCTAATTTATGGGACTGTTGTGAAGAGTTTATATATGAATATATGTATACTTATATATGAATGAAATTTAGTATATGTATATATTATGTATATGATATTTATTTTGGTCCATGTCAGCTATACAGCGTCTGCTATCAAGGTGATTACTAAAGTTATATTTCCATTCAAAGGAAATGAGTCCCTCCCATCTCTCTCCGGTATCCCACTATGCCCCCTTTCATGCTATGATATAGTTCTGCCCTTTATCCAAGACATGTTATACTTGCTGCATTGTAAAATTGAAATTAAAGCCAGAATCAGTACAACTTAGCTTTTCTTAGAAAGGTTTGTCTTGGGGATTATGTGTGGTTCTTGGGGAAAGAATTTGAACTTTTCCTTCAACAAATCAGCTTAGCAGATCATAGCACTCTGAGTTAAGGAACTGACTAATTTGTGGCTTATTTTTCCAGGCTTCGAGAACTTATGGGAGGTGATACGAAAACTACTAGCAACTCACAAAGGGCTGGTGTGGGAGAATTGTCTGTATTCTGTCAATCATATTTTAATAAAACACTGATTGGCCAGGTAGGCAGTATAGGCGGGAAAGCCAGACAGGAAGTAGGGGTGGAGCAAAGAGACTGGGAGTATTCTGGGAAAACAGGAAGCTCCCTCCGCCACTTTTGCGCAGACCACCGAAGAGGCAACAACATGTGAACTGACAGCTGAAAGAGGTACAAAGCCATATGGCTAACATAGATAATGATAATGGATTAATATAAGTTACAAGGACTAATAAGAAGCCTGACCTAATGGGTCAATCAGCTTTATAAACACAGAGAGCTTTGGATCTCCGTGTGATTGATTTTCTCTGGGACTTGCCGGCTGTGGGGTACCGGGCGGGACAGATACCCCAACAAGCCGGCCCTCGTGTTACAAAGGGCTGTCACTTTTCCTCCCATGCTTCTCTTTTAGTAAAAAAATAGCTTCGTTGAATTTTAAGGGTCACAGTTAAATGTTCAGGACTGATCTTAACAGTGGAACTGTTCATATCAGCACAAAAATGCTTCCAAAAATGTGTATTTCAGAAATACATACTGTGAGTATCACATGGTTCTAAAGCTGCAAGGACATGTGAAATAATCGCATGTAAACATATATAATGAAGTGTCCTTATTCTTGCTATCATGTATAGTTCCTTAAACTACAGAACAAAGGAAATACCATCCAAATTGGGAG